CCAGAAAGTAACTAGGGTATGTGTCACAGTGGCGAGATCAGATCTCTCAAGAAATGGACCTAGCTGGCATACTAGTTTTAATTGTGCAGATGCACTCCTGGCCACTGCCAAGACTTGGACATCCAGGCTCAGATATGAATCTAGGAACACCCCAAAGCTGTGCACCTGTTTTTTCAATGGGAGTGTCTTTCCATCCAGTACCGGCCACATCCCTGTTCCCTGATCTGCCTTTCAACAGACCAGGAGCACTCCTGTCTTGTCTGATTTAAGTTTCAATTTATTTACTCTCATCCATTCCATTACTGATACCAAACACTGATCTAGAGCTGAAACAGCAGCTTCCTCAGATTTAGGTGGCAAGGAGAGGTAGAGTTAGGTGTCCTCAGCTTACTGGTGACACTGACCCCAAAACTCTGGACAGCCTCTTCCAGTGGTTTAATATGGATGTTAACTAGACTAAGAGAACCCTGAAGGACACCACAGGCCAATAACCAGGTTGTCAGACAGGAGTCCTCCAGCATCACCCTCTGAGTTCTCCCCTCCAGGAAGGACTGGAACCATTGTAAAAAAGTCCTCCCAAATCTCATTCCAGAGAGACGAGTCAGGAGGGCACTGTGGTTGATAGTATCAAAAACCACTGAGAGGTCCAGTAAAAAACCAACAGGGATGCAGAGCCCCCTATCCAGTTCCTATAGTAGAAGTTATGTGCCTTCAAGTTGGAACCAACTTGTAGTGATCCTAATGGGATTTTCAGAGTAAATGAGATATTTAAGGAATGGTTCTACTTATTCCACACCTCTAGTGAGTTTCTGTGGCTGAGCAGGAATTGGAATCCAGGGCTTCTAGTCAGTCACTCTATCCTAGTGTTTCTCAACTTTCTGTCCCTGTATCTTCTTGTATCTCTCAGAAATCCTGCCCAGCACAGCTAGTGGTGACCTCTTCTGGAAGTTTAGTCCAGGAACATGGAACATTTGGGGACCCAGGATTGGGAACCACTGCTCCATCCACTACACACTGCGTGTCCAATTGTGTTAGTAGAGTAGATGAAAGACAATTCTATAAGCAGTGCTAAAGCCCAGATGTCTTATTCCATTAATATGTCATCAAGCCAGTGGTCAGCCAGAGGTCCATTAAGGTTTAGAGACAGAAATGAAGTATATTTTGCATAGGGAGGAGAATTTAGCATACTCAAGCTATAGTGTTTTGGAGAGGGTGGATGACAAATTTCAGCCAGGTTGCATTAGAACAAAGGGAGTCTTTTAATATGAAAGCCTCACGATTTACATAGTAAGCATGTAGCAGCCAGCCTCTACCCCAATCTTCTCCCCTCCCCCCCCCCGAATATAATTTACCTTCCTACCAGGTGGAGTTCCTCTTAGCTCAGAGGTTGGATTCTCAGACTTGGAAAGTACAGAATGTGTTGTGTTTTCACAAAGTTCAGCTACTGAATTTACCTCCTTTGAAAGGTGCCATAGTTACAGAGAGATTGGATGACTTTTTAGATTGTGGAGGCAAGGGGAGGAAGGGCAGCTCATTCACATCTAGATTGTGGAGGCAAGGGGAGGCAGGGCAGTTCATTCACATCTTGCTATATACAGTACTTAACAAAGACCCATTCTTTTTTTGTGATAATGCAGAACTAGAAAAACAGTTAAGGCACATATTTCAGTAAAGGGTGGTAGGTGGGGGGTGTCTCTTTCAGTAGAAAAGCATTGTTTTGTGGCCCTCTTTCCCCACTCTCCTTCATGGTTCCTCCACAATATATTAAATACATTTTAATTACCTGGAGAACATTGAAGTCTCAGTATTGTTGGGCTTGATCTTTCTCCAGGCTTGTGGTTTGTAGCAGTTTGTCAATTGAGGGTGTTTTATGGAGGGAGTCAATCATCTTTCAATGTTTGTTGTGATTACAAGGTAGATCACATGGTTCTTGTTGTATGTGATAGTTAAGGCCACAAACATTAAATCTGTGTTTGATGTTCATACAAGAACAGGGCTGCTTCTTATATTCTTTATTAATGACAGAGTTAATGACTGTTTTTGATGACATAAGAGCAGCACTGTACTAGTTTCATTGTTTGCTCCTTTCCCCACATTGATGTTTGAGAATGGCTGATGGCTGGATTCCAAAAGATCTCCTGTATGGAGAATTAGTGCAGGGAAATCATCCCAGAGGGAGACCACAGCTGCAATACAAGGATATCTGCAAGCGTGAAGGGAAGGCCTTAGGACCCCAACAGATGGGAAACCCTGACATCTGAGCGTTCAGCCTGGAGGCAGGCGTTGCATCACTACCTCTCCCAATTTGAAGAGACCCTTGTCCAGCAGGGCAAAGGGGAGGGGCAGTC